TAAAATCTAATCATATAAGATTGTATATTATAATGATTTTTTAAATGTTTTATTTTAATAATGTCCAACGTATGAAGTTTCATATTTTTTTTTTTTATAAATTGTAAATTATATAAATTTATATTTTTTGTTTTTTGTATAGTATTTAATATCATTTTATCTACTGTAGAATTAAAATTTAAACATATATCATTCTGCTAAAAATATTTTAGAAAAGTGATTTAAAAATAACATAAATTTCATGTTACAAAACTTTTATAAATAAAATTTTTTCCATATCTAAAAATATATAACAGATATAATCAAAGTGATCAAAGTTTGTATCTTGTGTGTAGATTTATTCATTATTCTATCCTTTAGTATTTTATTTATATTTTTCAATATTTCTTTCAGTTTTCTCCAATACATTTCTTCAATATCAAATATTACTTAGTTTGATAAAACAAAACATTGATTTTTTTTACTTTTTTTGTAATGCTTATCACGATAACATAAATACTTTTTATTATTTTTATTATCCGTTATTTGTTTTCTCTTCTTTTTTCTCTTTCTATTATTTCTCTTTTTTCCCTACATATTTTCCTTTAATCTTCTTTATAATAATTTTGCGAATTCAATTTAATTTTCTGGTTTATATATATATATATATATTTTAAGAGACTATTATCGGAGGGATCTTTCTCTTCTTTATTCTTATCATTATAATTTGTATTTTAATTTTCATTTTAATTTTTTTCATATAATACCACTCTCCATTTCATGATCATGGATTCGTCATATAACATAGAATTCTTCTTCAAAATATTAATTTACTGCAAGCATTTCTTTTCATTTCAATCTTTTTGTATAAAATATTTTATGATATGTAGGATTTACTTTAGAAATTGATTATATATTTGAAAACAAAAAAGTAGATATATATCTATTTGATATTTTTCTTTCTTTCAAAATCTACACATCGAATATTTTTGTTTGTTTTGTTAAACTTTCTTTATTTTTATATTAATACTTTGGTAAAATAAAACCTCTTAAGTTTTAACTGTTATGTATTACAAAGTTTTCATAATTTTACTTTTAATTAACATATATAATGCTAACAAGTGTCTTAATAATTCTCAATTAAGTTAACTCTTTAAATTTTCACAGATAGTGGAATATTTCAGAATTATAAAATCAAAGAGTTAATATATTTATTATTAATTTATATATTATATATATAAATTATAATTTATAACTAGAATAATTGAGGTACAATATATAGTTAAGGGTTTCATTGTATAATAATAAAACCTCAATTATTATTCATATTATATTATTCTTATTTTTTTTACATTTGCATTCTTTTGAATTATAGTGATCCAGTGAAAAGAAATATTTTAAAAATATTTAATATATAACAAAAATAGAATACACATTTATACAAACTTTCTTTATTACTTTCAAATATACAATCAATTTTTGAAATTTTATATATTTTGAAAGATTGTATATTTATTTTATTTTCATATTTTTTAAATTCCTTTCCTGAACATCTAACACTATTTTTTACTTATATTTCTCTCTTTCAAGCACATGGTTTACTACTTTTCTAAAGTGGTCATTTCACTCCTCTATCTTGAAACTCTCTTTCCCCTTTTCTTTTCTTCATTCATCACTTTCTTCAGACGTCCTTTCCGTATCTGATCTTTCTGATCTCTTTTAAAATCTCCTGTCTGTTTCTTTCTTTTTTTCCCCCTTTTATAAGCTACCATTTTTTTTTCCCTTTATATTCCTCCCCTTTCACCATTTCCTTAGCGCTTTCTTCGCTTCGGCCCATTTTTCTTAACACTTATTCGACTCACCATTTTCTCTCCTTTCCGGTTCTCTCTTCTCTTTTTCCACTAAACGATCCTTTTGTTGCTGTTTCCAAATTCTACGCTATTTTGCTCGTATCTTTCTTTCTTTTATCAAGATTTATTTCACAGTAATAGTTTCCTTGTGAATAACTGATAATTATTTACATTGAATATCGCTTTTCATCATTGAAGCTAAATATTTTAGATAAGATTAATTTTTAGTAAAAGGAATTAGATAAATTATACATTATGTTTGGTATGTATAGGATTTTTAATGTTACTGCTATCATAACACATACAATATTTCTTTGAATATTTAGAGATATTGATTTTTATATTTTACTCGTAATTGTAGTTGTTATATGAATTATGCACTATATTTATTGCACAATTAGTATTGCTGAAAATATTTTAATATTTTAATTATTTTGTAAATTTTAGATTTTAATCACTAGAAATATTCTTCATGAATTATTAATTAAACTTTTAATTACTTTTAGAAACTTTTAGAACTATAATAACTTTTAGAAAATTTTTATTAATAGTTTAATTATGAAAAGCATGTAATAAATAAAGAAACAAATAAACAAAGTCATTATATATAATATTATTTGCTATGTAAAATAATAAGTTGAGTAATAAATTTGTTCGAATTTCTTTAAAAAAGTTATAAGTATTTTTACATAAAGTTTATTTATTATTAATCAAAATATATAAATAAATAATATACTTTATTTTTTTATTTTTTTTATTTTATTAATCATTTAATAAATGAAGTAATTTAATCATTCTATAATATTTGAAATTTTTCCATAAAGAATATTTTTTAAATTGAAAAAAATTTAATAAAAATTAAAAGCAAACTGTAATTATTTTTCTTGCATTGTAAAAATAGTGTACAATTTGATTTAATAATATTATATTCTACAATTGAATTCAAATATTTGAAATTTTATTCATTTTTATAAATATACTTTAGATATACTTATTCATATTTATTTAGCACAAATAATATTTTCATAATGTTTTTTAAAATAAATAAATAAAGATAAACTAACTTATTATTTAATCTGATAAATATGTACATCTGCATGTACATATCATTTAATCATTGTAACTTAGAAGTTCACATATTTATTACAATTATATTATATTTTTTATTATTATTTATTATATTATTACAATATAATTATATTTTTATTATATTAAGGATAATTATTATGAATTACAATAAATGATATAAAACGAAACTATAATCTTTCAAAATCTCTGTCAAATATAATAATATAAAATTTTATCGATTATAATATATTAGGTTGACGCAAATTTTCTTGATTAGCAAGACAGCACCATTTTAGGTTATTTTCCCCAGCACTGCTATTTGTGTATTATATAGGATTATTGGTCTAAAATCTTTATCTATTAGTTTGCACATATCTGGTTTGTCATCATGGTTTAGTTTGTGTGCGCGATAACATGTACAAATTTTCTTATCGATTTCTATATAGACATTAGGTCTTTCTATTATAATTACGCTCTTTGGCATTTATATTTTGATACGTATATAATTACGCTTGTTGCGCTTAGGAGCAACAAGGACACTTAGCTCGTCTCTTTCCCGAGTTTTAGGCTTAGGATTTAATAGGTTTAGGATTTTAAAGTTATTAGTTTAGAGAGCACTAGATTTCTTCTATATATTTCGCATGAATTTCGAATTTATTAGACAAGTAACGATTTCGTTGTTTGGAATATTTCTCGAGTTACCGTTTGTTCAATTTTGCTTGCTTTGCATGCTCCTCTGATATTTTCGTTTCTAGCCGAGGTGGCAGAACAGAGCGTCTTACAAATATTATTGATATGATTATATTAGATATTTATTTTTTGGTTAAATTTTTTTGACAATTTTTCGATGAGGAAAAATTGATGAATTGAAAACGCTCTGTAATGCTGTGGGTGTCTATATCACGCTATAATTAATATTCTATACTACCACGTGAAACTTTCACTTTTATATCAAAAGCATCCAAATACCCATCCAAATAGATAAAAAATAAATTACTAAATTTTAAAAAATAGAAAGTCTATTATAAAAGAAAAAATAAAATATTGGAGCAGCAAAACATAGAAAATATTCTCTCTTCTGTATAAAAGAAGATAAAATATGGTGTCTGGAAGCTTATGAATGCAATATATAAAACAAATATATATCTATATATAAATATTTTAATTATAATGAATGTTAATTATAATGAACTTTTTATATCTTCATCACATTAATACACATGTAAATATTTTTATATGTTTCAATGCATATTACTAATAATATAAGATTTTGTTTTTCTATCTGTGAGAAATCCTGTAAAAACTTAGAAGATAAAATTTAAGTATATTCGAATTTAGATTAATCATTAATAATAAAGTAGTAGATTTATATAGTAAATGAATTTTATATGATTCTATTTATAAATTGAAAGAGAATTTATATTATTAATTGTAAGTAACTTAGTAATTATAAAGAATAGTAATACAATGATTAAATTAAAAATATAATAACAATGAAATTTTATATATCTTGAAATTATTAGAATTTATTAGTGCTTATTTACATATTTGCTATATTCCATTTAGAATTTCCTTTCACAATAACTCTCTCCCATAATGATATTTATTATAATAATATTGGATTTAAACGTTTACAGAATATCTCAAGCTATTTAACTTAAACTATTAATTTAATTAATGCTTTATGCGTGTATACATTCATTTATTCTCTATTTGTCATGCTTGATTATTCTTTATGTATCATATATAGTATATTAAAATCCATATTTTATAATATACTTTAACACAAATAATATTATTCTCATATATATAGTTTATAAATAGTATATAATATAGTTTATAAACTATATTATTTACGTTATGTATTATATTTTCTTTCAAATATTTATTTAAATTAGATATATTTATTTAATTTAACGTTAAAACAAACTTAATTTGCATTGATATAAATGCTTTGCCCTATTTGTTGAGCATCTATTCTCACCTATTATTTCATAATCATTATTTTACGCATAAATGTTTCTTACTTGTGAATAAAAGTAACTATGATATTGTTTATACATTTCTAAAGGATGTAGAATATTATGCAAAACTTTATCTTAGGTTATGCTTCACGAAGTTGAAGTTATTGCTGTTGGCAATCGAGATAAAGGGCGAAGGAGGTGGCGACAGTAAGATATCAATTAATCCACGTGGTGCCAAGATCGTAGCAAATACTCAGGGATTCTTCATTGCTCAATCTGCCGACGAAGTGAAGCGGTGAGAATAAATTCTTTCTGTAATCAAATCATTGAAGATGAGCTTTAATGTGAAATTTTATTATAAATTTTCTTACCTAAGATAATAATCATAAATCTCTCTCTTAAATGGATCGTTTAATTATGGATTCATTTTTTAGAATATCATTTTTCAATGAAATTACACGAAATTATAACGAAGAATATGATTATATTAAATCTAAAAAAAAAAAGTATTTTTCTAAATTAAAAATTAAATATACAAAATAATACAAAAATTTCATTCTTTCTAGATCATTTTCTATGAAGAGTAATAAACATTGAAGAATTTATAAGAAAAATAATTCTCATTGACTTTTTTCCTAGAAGAATAAAAAATACTTTATTATTCTTAAAATAATATTTATTCAATAAATCAGATTTTTTTTAAATAAAGCATTATAGTATATTATTACATATAATAAATATAGATATTATTTTTAATTACATTATATTTTTTATTGTTAATAAATAATTAATCATTCTATATGTATATTTTTCCAGGGCGTGGTTCTATTGCAAAGCATGCCACGAGGATATAAAAGACGAAACTCTGATCAAGAAGTGCAAGTGCAAAAATTGTAAGTCTTTCTAGTCTAGTGATACCTTTTAATTGACAATATTTAATTCTTACTGAAAATTTTCTGTTATCGAATTTCTTAACCAAACTCCGAATTATTATCGAAGTTACTTTATATATATACGAATAATAATTAACGTAACATCTCTCTGTGCATAGAGCGCATTGAATGTGTCGAAAAAAAAAATATTGTGTCACACCATTCGATCCTTAATTTCGAAGAGCGCAACAAGTTGCGAC